GCCATTTTCACTAGTTGTAACAAAAGCAGCTTCCATGCTGGCATCAGCGTGATGCCATGTTACTTTAACATACTACAAAGGACAGAGGTCTCAGTACATTACTACAAATAGAAAAGGGCTGCAGCACACACTCAAGACCCCAAAGAGAATTTCAATGTTCGAGGCTTCCAAGACTACTTCATCTGGAACACACTGCAACAGATATCTATACAGGGCACTTTCCTGATGGGCTATCCTGGATTAGAGATAGAAAAGTGCATCTGAACAAGAGATTCATGACTTTGCACCTTAGGGCTATTCAAGCACAGAAAGAAATGTTGACATCTGATGTTACTGCTTTCTCCGGATATGTAATTTACTTGCTTCCTTAAATCCTAGCTGTATTTAGTGCTCATTTACTGGACAGGAAGCAGAATAAGGTAGCCTTGGGCAAAGGTATGGCTTCTGAAAACTCCCGTTGGGGGGGGGGGGGGGGGAGGGGACAGATCGATCCAAATTCTCTGTGCTCCCTCATTTGCAGTAACATTTGGCTAGCTCCAATTATAGGAATTTCTGCCCCTGAAGAGGCCACTATCACCAAGTGACTTCATTGGAGTAGGTTTACATTGTTGACATTTAGTAAAACTTCATTTTGGAACTGAATAAGCAGCTATTAAAGGTTTTCAGTGAAACTGATTCAGCTACTTAATATCCCAATCCAGTCAACAGTAACTTTTGAATCACAGATTAAACAGTGAAACCCAAACAAGCACCTCAGGCATAAAATTGGCACGTACTACGATGTAACCGTCAAAGCTGATGGGAAAGGAAGATTTATTCTTTTCTGTAGTGGCTAGGATGGTTTTTTTGTAAAAATAAAGAAGAGATGGAAACTCAACTGTGTCAAAGTTCTGCCTGTGCTCCTCATTGAGCAACCAAAGTGAACAGCTCGCGCCTTAGTTTGACAACAGGTGTTACAACCGAAATAGTTACAGTCTTTGTATATTCGATTTCCATTACTCACATGGACCTTCCCCACTAACAAGGGAGAAGAAAATCTTTCCGCAATCACAAAGTGTAATCAAATGGACTCATGAGCACAAAACTAATTTTAACTCTTGTTTTGAAATGCAGTCTGACCATCTCTTTTAACTGGCGCTGTAGTAGGGCTTCCTGTTATTAGCAGATGAGCACAGTCTGCAGTCTTAAGTGGGCCACAGCAAGTCCATTAGCTGGCAAACCAGTGACCTAGAGCCATCAGAGCGCAATACTATTCCCACAGCTGTATCCACTCACCAAAATGCAGTGTCCAATGAGCAGAGCACACATTTCATGAACTTGTTTTCACTGCAAAAAATCCTTTGCAGGGCCGACATCACACATCACAATAGCCCGTTCCTTTACTTGTGACAAGCAACCAGCAGCAGAGCTTCAGCACAGTGTAATCCAGGTGACACGCACTCTGTCCTTCTTAAATGTAGCCCCCTCGGCTTCCCCTCCCCATCCTGCCCCTCTGCAAATTACCTTGTAACAGGTGACCTGCTCCAGTGGCCGGGGGCCTCTGTTCCCAGTGTTGTTGTTTTGAGACTGCATGACTCCAATGACTTGGGGTGTCCTCTGTTGGTTAGGAGAAAAGTTTTGACTTGTTAAGCGCATCATGGATGAAGACCTTTTCCCTTCTTAACAGAATAACCACCGCAAAGAACACCCCACATATCGAATGATCAGTTTTCCTCCAAATTTATGCGTGGGTGATCTGCCAGCTGGAGTACCAGAGGGAAGAAATCAAACACTGAGGTATACAAAGCCCAGCAGTCCTGCTTTTCGCTAAAAAGCAGATTTAGAGAGTTGGTTTAGGCTGCTAAAATATCATTGCCATCACAGAGATGTCATGCAGATTACAAAAACTGGCAGATAGCTGCACAACCACATACAATGTGCTTCTACGTACGTAGGAGTGTTCTGTGACTAGATCTTTATGTAAGTTGGAGTAACCATAGGACTTTTGCTCCTCACTATATTGTCACTCAGGGGTGCTTGCTGCTCTTGCTGCTTAATTCCTGCATAGCGCCCCCCCCTTCCAGGCAGCCCAAGGAAAGAACTGCCACTGCTGGCCTCTGAGCTGGAGGAAAGTAGCAATGACTGAGGAAGAAGTTAACCAAGATGCTGTGAGGGGAGAAATAGAACAAAGCAAAACACTGCGGTCCCAGGATGAAGGCAGCAGCAACCTGTTGTGATCGGATGGTGGACATTACAGGGCTGGGAGAAGGGGAGAGAAGGGGCAGTGCTTTGAGGTTTATTCGTATTTTCCTCAAAGTTCTTTATGAGGAAAGACTATCACGCCCTGTTGTAAAATAAGTAAGGTTTCCCCTCATTTAACGGATGTTTCTCCAAGGCTTTCCAGCAAGTCAGATCCAAGAGCCCAGGTGCCCTGTTTTGAGCATTAGATAACACTCCTTTTAAAGCACCGTGGGCAGTGCTTTGAGGGTGGGTCTGTAGGAGAGGGAAGGGAGTTGTGTACCTTTTGCTGTGTTTGTGTCGGTTGAGGCAATGGTGGTTGCTCTGTGGTTCCCATAGGCAGTTCAAACCGAGGGCTGGTTTAGACAGACAGACAGACAAGAAAAGCGATTCTTGAACCATATGCCAACATTCTACCATCAGCTCAGACAAGTAACTCCGGATAACAAAGCAAACATTCAGCTAATTAAGTTTCACTCACAAGAAACAGACCTCCCTTCCCACTTCTCTTTGCATTCTGCTGCTCAGCATTACATAAACTAAAATGATAGTCCAGTAGGTAGCATCTCCCTCTAGCTGTGAAGTCTTCTGGATTACAAACCCACATAACCCTACTGCACAGATGGTATCTGATCCTCACTTCAGAGTCTTTCTGGTAACTCTCTAAGGAGCCCCCGTCCCATGTCCTCAAACTGGAAATACATTGTGCAACAAAGTAAACATCTGCCAACTTTCTAAAAGCACTGGGCAGTGCTAGATCACCCTGATTTGCTATATAGCAGATTACAGAGGAAACATAAGATTACAGGGCAAGCCTGGAAACATACTCACTGCATGAATTTACAGGTAGGCCCCTCTGGACAGAATCCTACTAGGTAATTCACACAAATGACTCTTCGAGTGTGTCGGTGTCTGCAGAGGGGACCTGCAACACAAAGCTCAATAGTTCACACTTCATATACGTGTAACCCAACACTCACTAACAGCAGGTACACAGGCAGATCTTGCAAAGGAAAAATAGCATCACCCTACCCTTGCTTTATAGGCACAGAAGCAGCAACTGTGTGACATACATACCATGCTTACAGAAGCCTCTGTCATACCAGGGACAGTCTTTGATCTTAGACTCCGGGTCAATGTGCAAGAACGGACATTCTTTGTTACTGCATTCCCCTGTACCAAAGGCAAATACGCTTCTTAGCAAACGGTGCAGGCACAAGATCAAAGCACTCCCAAAACATTACCTGAATCATGTAGCTCCCACAAAGCTGTTACCAACATTTATGAGTTCAGGCACAACCTGCCTTGACCTAGATGATAAACACCAAGACTCACCCTAGGTGAGTAAAAGTCTACCAGACTGGATTATTTACGTGTGCTTTTAAAACAATGCGGAAACTGAATTCGAAAGAGCAGTCATGATAACGAAAACTAAACATTTAGTGCACCAAAAGTGTGGAGAAACTACAAATTGCACACTAACCTCAATCCAAGGAAACCTACAAGACTGTAAGTTTCTGACAGCAAGTTGCCTCATTATGTCCAGATCTCCAGAGCTGGAAAGCAAGTGCATAAAAGTTTTGCACCCCCATACCCTCTGCTGCTCATCAACTTCCCAAAATAAAAGTCATGCAAAGACCACCTACTCAGCCTACTCATCTCATACCCAAAACAGAACATTAGGTACAAAACCCAGCAAAGACTTGAACTTCCCCCCTCTTCCCCCAAGGGGCAAGCTCTTGAGAGAGGACACATCTACAACATATGAAGAATTTAGGGGGTAAAATAAGGTGAGGGGCTAAGCAGATCTGACAAATTACAACCTAACAGTATCAGCAGACACAGAAGAGCTGTAATGTTTTGAAGATGGATGAGACAGGGTGAGAAGGATGTATCAAGATCCTCTGCACCATCAGATTCCCACGCTAGCAAGGAACGTCAAGTAGGAGCTACAATGCCCCTTACCAAATTTGGAGTAGAAGTAACACTCAGGCATCTTGGTCATGTCATACTCGTGCAGAAACTCGCACTGGTCTCCCTTTTTGCACAGTCCACGTAGCCAGTGCTTGCAAACAACTGTCTTTTCCCCACTTATGTGTCGGAACGGGCACATGCCACCTGCAGAACAATAGGGCAAGGAAAAAGAAAAAAGAATATTTAAAATCTGCAGCACAAGAAGCTATGCACAAGACAGCAGCAACACTTGACTCCCCTCTGCAAGAAGAGTTTTCAGAAGACTTCACTTTTTCTGTAAGTGGCAATGGCAGAACAGGGAGTTCTTGATAAGAGTCTTCTTTTACTCTCTAATGAGCAGAGCAGTGCAAGCTCCAGCTCTTAATCCGGGCAGCCATGACCCACAGCTACTAACAAGGCATGTGCAGAGCAAGGACCGCTTGCAATCAGGTCAAACCTGTCTTTGCAGGTAGCCTTGCTTATTCACCCCCACTTCTTCTAAAAAATACCCTTACTTCACAATTGTGGCAGCTAATTCCATCTCAGTTATTCCCCATTTTTACAATATACCATGAGCATTCTACACAGCGATGTGCTAAGGAATCTAGTTTCCCTTTCCCCTCCCATCTGTAAAAGTATAATTGTATTGGGAATAGTACTTGCCTTTTCCACAGGCCGCTTTTAAAAAAAATTCACAGACAGCAGCACCTGATTCTGTGGAGAAAATAGCCAAAGAAACACTATTAATTTTTATGAGAATTTGCAGCAATTTTTAAAATATTTCCTTCCCTACAGAGACAACCCGGTTCTCAACATGAAAAGAGCAGTGTTTTGGTTTGGGGAGTTTACTTTCCAGTGCGAGTTCCTTGTTCAAGTCTGGCCCTCACCAATATCTGTAAACTTTTTGGTAAAACGTACACCAACAGGATTTACAGGAGCTTGGTGGTGCCTATTTAGCCTTTCGGAGAACCAGGTTTTGTTGACCAGGCTTTCCTCTGCTATTAAATCAATCACGATGGTGAAACCTGTCTTTACAGCCAGGAAAACTGAAGTCTTATATTGTTTTGACCAAAAAGGACTGAGACGAGCATTAGGATGCTGTCCCTTGCTGATCCTGACCTACAGGGATCAGATGATTTAAGGGCATTAAAATATTAGTTTAGTAGTCTAGCCAGAAAAATTTTAACAATCTGTAAGTCTCCCTAGACTACTTGTACCAGATTACTAGACTGTAGGAGAAAGCTTAGAGCACAGGCCACAGATACACTCCAAGATGAGATCTTCCTGGTCCTTAAAACACCTCATCCGTGGAAGGGGAACAAAGAAACTGAAGTGCTGTGGAGAAAAGTCAAGTTTATTCAGAATGATGCCTCCACCTTCACTTTCTAGCCTGGTCTGGCACTAACTATGGCACCAAGGAAGGAAAGAAAAACATCTGGGTTGAGACCGAAGCTCTCATAAGGGACAGCAGAAGTTGGCTCGATGCAATAAGAGCCGGCAGAGGGGCTCAGGCCCCCGGCAGCCCCCGCCCGGGGCTTCAGGCAAAGCCGGGCCCCCCGGG